GATATCTTTGTGCTTGTATACACTGCCACCAATCACCAGTTCGTTGAAGGCGCAGAAGTCGGCGAAGAGTTCTCCGTTTTCATTCATTTCTCCTAGAGCTTCTCTACCCATGATGAGTTCCCTTCCCGTATTGTCTGGTCCCAGTTTGGCGTTCATGTCTCCCATTAGTATTTTCATGTCGCCAGCTGGAGTATTGTCCATTGTTGCCTGTAGTTGCCTGTAGAATTCTTCTTTCTTCTCGAGGTCTGCGTTGTTTGTGGGTGCATAACATTGTATGATTGACACTTTCCTTCCTTTGGAGTTGAACCTGGCGGTCATTATCCTGGACGAAATCGCCTCCCATTGTATCAGGGCTTTCGTTGCCGTTGGTGACATCATGATAGCCACGCCCTCGGTGTGCGTGTGGTTATCTTCTGGGTGACCGGAGTAGATCACTGACTCACCTGTTGACAATTTGGTGAGTCCACTCCCATTCCATCTGCTCTCACATATTCCCAGCACTTGTATTCCGTATCTTTTCATCTCGTTGGCGATCTGGGCAGCTTTTCCAGTCTCGTACATAGTTCGGACGTTCCATGTTCCTACACAGACTTTTTCTTTTGGTGCAAGGAGGTTCACATACTGAAGTTCTTTAGCAATTTTTGTTTACAGGGTGGGGTTGCTAGCCTCACGCCTGAGAAAAGAATGATTACATTAAGTAAAAGTTTAGAGAGAAGCAACTTTTTGGGTTGCTCCCCTCAAAATCAGAAAATAACGGACAAACAATGAGAACAACATCAACAAAGGAAACAGTTCACAGAAAAAAGGGCAAAAAGCGACGACAACTATACAATAAGACAACATGCAATATAGTTCAGTACATTTAACTAAAATGATATCTTAACCATAAACTCACTGACTTGGAGCAACTTGAACATATAAATCCAACAATATATACAATTATAGATGTGTTTATGTTTAAAAATTCCACAAATCCAAACAGTGAGTTATGTGTATTATCTGTCAATAAGATTGTATTTTTTGGATTCAGTGTTCGAAAGGTTAATAATTGTGATAATTTCCGCAAACACTTTGCATAAAATTTTAGAGTAATAAGAGATTTTATTTATGACCAAAATGTAGCGTAATAGTCGAAAAGCGCGCTCAAGGTATGGGCAGATTATTTTACATGGATACAATTATTATTTGTTTAATTTCGCATAGTAACGAAGGTGATAATAATTTTCAACTTGATATGAAAGTTTGAAGGTACGAATATAGATTACAAGGGGCTTAGAGACAAGATCGCATAGGATTAGAAAATAGTTACAACGTACGCAAAAAAATTAATATTTGATAACTGGAGAAATAATTTTAAAGGCGAATCAAAGGTGATAATTATTTTCGACTTGATATGAATTACAAGAGGCTCAGAAACGCAGGGATAGAACGAATTACAGGTGTGAACAAAATGAGCATGGAAACAAATTGAAATCAAAATTTTCAACTTGAAATGTTAGTTAGGAGGTATGAATATAGATCACAAGAGGCATAGAAACAAAAAATTACACAGGATTAGAATCTAATTGTAAAATGGTTATTCTAAACGGATTACAAGTGTGATCAGGAGGAGCATGGAAACAAGATTAAAATAACTACTTTTATAACTGAAAAAATAATTTGAGCCTGAAATGAAAGTTAGGACGTGTGAATATAGAATACAAAAGCCTTAGAAACACAAAAGTTGCACAGGATTAAGATATAATTGTAAAATAGTTATTTCAAACGAATGGAAAAGTAAGACAAAAAAGCCAAACACACAGCAAGCATACCACATCACACCAGTACGCTCTGCCCGACGTATGGGATCTCCCTCAGTGATCAGAAATTTCCTTCGTTCTCTGTCGACAGTATGACTACTGATCCAGTTCACGGGGTGTTGGTTGCTTCATATCAATCTGGCACAATTCCCTCCCCGGCGTATCAAATCGCGTACACTGACTCTAACACTACTCGATTCGTTCACAAGTTTAGAAGACTAGAAACGATTTCAGAAGTACTTACAATAACATTACAAAATGATTCGCACCATGCGATAACTATAAAATAAATCAAAAATTGAATGAATCGGGACCCACTCAATTACTTAACACAAACATGTGTACAATTAATTCATCAAATGTTATGGACTCTGCCTTGACGAGCTACCCTTGAAGAATTGTAGGACTTACAGCAGTACGCCGAAAACCCCTCTCAGGTTGACGCCCAAGAGGAGAATGGTCCGAACACAAATATAATTAACCAACAGATAGATGAGAGATAATACCAATTCAGTATATACAAAATAAACATATGTACAAAGCAACACACCAAGTAATACCTTTGGAGAATTGTAGGACCTACAGCAGCACGCCTACAACCCTTCTCAGGTTGACGCTCTAGGTTAGAAAATCGTTGCAGAGTTCATTTGCTGACTTCCCTCTATCAGCCATATCCTCAAGTCTGAACGGTAACACGCTCATGTCATTGTATCGTAGAATAAAGATGACTAGCAAACACACGACATATCTGACCAACCAAGCGTGGACAAGAGTAATTTACACCAAAGTTAACATCCAAATAGTAATTTGAATCTTGAAAGGCCTTTATTCGTGCAAGTCAGTTTAAAAATCACCCCCTCGTACACACTTGGCTTATTCTCATTAAACAGACCAATATCTTTCGTACTTTCAATCGGGCTGTTATTAGCGTAGTCATAGCATACGAAACGTGAGTTCATAGACATCCCCTTCACTGTGGATGACAACACCAACGAAGACTGATTGATACCAGTTGATGAAGTTAGCGGTGGATCAGAAGCTGTTGTTGTTCGGCTTTCAGAAAGTTGTCTAACTGCAAGATTACCACCACTGCCGTCATTTACTCTTACCTCCGGTTAAGCAATAGCATCTGATGATAGGTGGGCTACACGCTGATCATTTACACTGACGGTCTCATGAGTAACCATACCTTCTACCACAGCATCTGCTCTTAATTCTACCTGAAGTTCAAGTTGTACAGAACCTTTGTTTAACTTAGCAGTAGTAGGCATTCCCCTCATCTCATCATGATCAACCAAAGACAACTGTGAAGTATCATGATCATTATCACGAATATTCACTTTACCGTCAACTTCATCATTTTCAAACTCTTTAATAACAGAAGTAGACAATTTTGGTTCCTCCTCACAAATCCTAAAAGGTTTTATAACTTCACTCTGACTAGTAATACCTTGTAAACTTTTGGAGTCAGAACTGGACTCTGAAGCAGTAACTCTATTCTGTGACACTCCATTCAACAATGGCTTACCAGTTGCAACTACAGACTTCTTGACCGCACCGTTATCGTCACACAATTCGGAGTCACACCTTGATTTCAAGTTTAGCTTACCACTAAACTTGGTCATTTATTTGCATTTCGCCTTTGTAAGCACTTCTTGCAAACTCGTAAAACACAACCGTGTTTGTCTTGCATCTTGTGACTTATCTGTTGATGAGGTACCACGAAACCTGTTACACTCACTAAGTTCATATGGATTACTAGACACCATAAAGCTTTCTCGATATCCACCTCTCGGAGGCCTATTCGTCATCAATGATTGCGTTTTACCCTCAGACTGCTCTATTCTAGGTGTGGGATGCAATAGACTGGCGAACTTGCTCATAAATTGATTGACACTAGTATTTACCAGTTTCAGGATATCATCAAACTTTGGCTCGATACCCTCATCCTCCATACGGGAGCTTATCTTCACCCACTTCCTTTGCAGTCGAGTGGGTAGGCGTCTTGCTATCACTTCTAGTATAAAACTCGAGTTGAGGTCACTCATGTAATTCATCGAAATCAATGCATTCTTGTAAATCAGCAAATTATCTAAAAACTCAGTGAGTGCCTGGGAGTCATCCTGTAATTGACCACCATTACCCTTAACAGCCTCGAATAATTTCCCTACAATCATCGAAGGTCTTCCAAACCTTTGACGTAATATGGTCATAGCCTCGTAGTAGCAGTCATTAAGGGGCATGAGCTTACAGCACTGTATAGCACTTGAAGCATCTCCAGTGCAATACCTCATCAAATACATTAACTTCATTTCATCAGTTAATAAAAAATCACTTAACATGATCTCAAACTCCCTTACAAATTGTAAATAATCAGCTGGGGAGTTTGATGTTCCTATTATCCCTGAACGGCGAAATAGTGGCATCAACCATGTCATGTTTAACATCAGACACATCGTAACAGTTAACAGATGAGTCACCATGACTAACTTTTCTGTTTGCATCCAAGACGCTCTGTCCCTTCTTTGACCCAGGCATTGTTGAACTTGACCCAATTCCAAAGACGTTCCAGATATTGCTTGTTCAAAGAGGACTTGACCGGCACCAGGAAAGATGAACGATGACTTTCCGAACTGTCACCAGCTATCTGAATCCGTCAGAAAATGTTTCCGCCGTCAGAATCTGACTTCACTGTCAGAAACTGTCAGCCACGTCTCGTAAACCGTCAATGCCCAGCTCTTGCTACGCTCGGGCTCACGCTGTTCCTTGAAGTTTTTCAGAAACGCTTAGTAATAACAGACGCAAAACCAAAACACCGATTGGCTACTCGAGGATTCTTTATTGTAACACCAACATATAGGCAGCTTTAAAATTAAGTTTTAACTAAGGTCTATGAACAAATGATACTGTAATAAATCACAATATTACTTCTGACAGTTGTCTCCTGACTTCTTTCTGAACAGCGACCGATGAGACGATGACTGTCGTATTGATGCCTCCGCGAAAATTGGGGAAGTTGGTTTTGAGCAAACAACAATGAATTGATCGTTCAATCTTCAACTACACTGACATCCCCTTATGTATTCGAATAGGATTTAACTTTTCTGTTGCTTGCAAATGCACTTTTCACTCCTTGGAATGATCTATGATATGAAGCAATACTTAAATAACAGCATCTGGAATTCGTGACAGGGTGAAGTTATGGTGAGCTGCGTAGGTTTGTGCGGTTCGAGGTCCGATTTCGGAAAGTTTACAATGAATGAGCAGGCCCAAAAAAGCTTATAATAAAGCAATTACGTCAGAGCGAAGAAAATATTAACGTGGTGAAATACTCATCTTAAATATTAATTAACTGGGATGAATAAACCGTGATTTCGCTGATGGGTACCACAGGGGGCATTTTGGTTTGGTCAACCACTCTAAGGCAATGCAACGTTTGACGCATGCATTTCAAAGTGATTCTCAATAGGATTCTGCATTTCTTACTTTTAGTGAGGCTTGTGAGAACGTTTCACACTGAGGTATTAAGTGAAGTAATATGGCTATGGAATAAAAAATGTAATCGAAAACTGTGCTCAGGTCTTTCTTAGGAACAGAAAATAGAGAGTTAGAGTTATCGATGTCTTGACTGCAAAATGAGCGGAAGAGGCTGGTGCAAATCAAAGTGATATTCTAGAATTCTTACTCTACCAAATGTATGTCAGCGAAACACCTTAGAAAATTAAGTCATCCAGTATGGTGTGTACTGACAAGAATTGATTCTGCGAAGATTTTAATGATGACGGGTGGAAAACTGGATTTTGGTAAGATTTAGATGCGTTTGTGCAATGGTGCACTGATTAGCCCTCAGACATGAACACAAGTAATGCAGCAGTCAGATTTATTTTATTTTGATCACACTACTTTTGGTACAAGTGTGGAATTTTCAGCGTGTGATATCGGTAGCCCGTATTTTGCAGGCCAACCATAGATATCAGGTGTACGTCGGTGAAGGCTCAAACCTCGGACCATATGCATGACCGGCGAGAGTACTAACCGATGTGCCACCGGCGCACAAAATGCTTGTCACCGCCTCGAGGGTGGAGACGAGGTGAGTTGGAGTACCTGGACATCAAACCTCAATTACTATTTGGCTCATGACTACAATGGAATTCGTTGATTACAAGTATTGCATGGTTGTGGATAGTGATTCTAAGACAGCAGCAGTTGGATTTCTCGCGTACAGAAAGTAGGAAGCAAAATAGTGACATGAATTTCTTCACATTAAGAGGTACGGAATCCATACGAATGTAGTGCTTGTTGTTTGCAGACATCACATCATCAGATTGAATCACGATGAAAGGTCTACGTCGTATTTTTGGCTTATAACAATAATAAAATAAAAGATGTCAATCAGTTAAATGTTTCGGTAGCATTTGTTTTATATGACTTAGTAGCGTTTGTAAGACATTCAAATAAATTTTAAGTTAACGTTTGTCGTAGAAACTGCTTGATGTAAGTTCTGTTTTATACGCGAAGTAAATATTATTTATTTTGTTTGATTTTATTTATTAAACATATGAAATTATCGCCTTATAAACCGGACGTTATAGATTTCCTGTGGCTGCAGCTTAATGTATACAATAATGATAATAAGTTCTTATTTTGTGTACATGAGGGACGCCAGTCTACACTACCATTTATTATTGCTGCAGGAGAAGTGGGGTCTGCAACCCCAACTGATTCATTCAAGAAGGGTTTTGACAACCACAGATATCTCCTAGAAAAAATATTAACATAGGCTCCAAGCCTTTTATCCTCATCCAATAAGTCTGAATCTGAATCGTCAGTATGATTAGTGGAGATTTAAGAAAAACAAACAATTTTCACTGAAAGAATGACATTATATAAGCTGATAGGTTCATTAATTTGGAAGTAAAATACTGCCGTTCTGTGCTTAGAATTATTAACTAGTCCATGTTTATTTGAATAAATGCTTTTTTTAAACATTTAATCTGGCACACACCAGATCTAAAATGGAAACTTAGCTGTTTATCACTATCCTGAATTAAGGGTAGGTATATTTTTTCTTCCAAACTGTTTAATTTCTGGTAATGACCACATCAACTGAAGTGATGTTTCTTTTGATATTTTCAAATGATGACATTATGACAATAATATATGTGGTATATATATATATATATATATATATATATATATATATATATATGTTACTCTGCAATTAATTCTTCTACTACCATAAAGTATCAAAATTGTCCGAATAAAATTGTTGCCCCAACTAATTAAGTTAGTGCTTCGATTGAATGAGTTTATGTATATGATACGAAATTATATAACGTCTAACCTTTGAATTTCTACAGTTTTACTTAAAGTAGTTTGCTTGTAATTACCTTGTGAGTTTGACATTGTAAGATCAACTGATATATCTGTAATTTATATATCTGGTATGTTTTGTAAGATAATTAAAGTGAACGAATTTCTTTTTTTTCTCAGCCAGAATGGACGTACTCAATCAACTTTAGACTAAAACTGGCTAGAAAGGCAGACACTAAGGTGTCAAGAAAAATGCTTTTAATTAGGGGTCACTGTAACTTAGAAAATAAGCATGTTTTCAAACTAGCTGAAGATGTTGTCAACTAATTATTTGAAATAATGCGTCAGTGTAAAAATGTGAGGAAGCTTGTTTAAGTGTGCAAGTAGCGATATACGCTGGTATATGTATAAAACTTGTGCACTGTGGTTGTAGAGTACAACTCCATTATGCATAAAAATTTTTAATTTTGATAAACTGTCACACAGTGTAGTGTAGTGCTTGTTATACAGTAATATTCACTGATGCAACCACACGCCATTTCGAGCACAATTTATTATTATTCCCACTCATAATCATATCAAGTCACTCAATCACTCACTCACACAACTTTCTTGTTTCCTTCATTTATATACATGAGTGGAATTGATGACTAGACATTTGAATAAAAATCAGTAATATGGGATAATGTACATTCACAATTAATAATAATATGAGTGTTATGAGTGATCAATTACAACAATCAGATGGGAAATAAGACGAGTATTTCTTTTATAGTCAAAATAAGTGAGTAACTTGTTAGAATGTTGTGATGATGTATGTGAATTGAATTGAAATAGAACACAATTTGAGATTATTTATTATCCTCCTCTGATTTCACTGACTCACTGACTGACTAACTGACTGGTGGTAATAATATCTTCCACGCGTATTTCTGGTATTTGCATTGAGTCATTTCTGTTGCATGTGTTGTGTTGTGTTGGGTGTAGACTCGATGAACCAGACAGGATTCAGTAATCAACCTCTCTCGCTCTCCAACTGTATACATTACTTCACAGAATCTTAACCCTCTTCCACCATGCTATTGCGTGATTGTGTGTTAATGCACGCATGCAGTGCACTGCAGTCCTGAGCTATTTTAAAAATAACTTATCTACTCGGCTGGGGTCAACCATTCTTACCTTAGCTGAATTCTTATGTTCCGACAATCTCACTACCCCCAACCTACTAGTCTGACCTATATTGTTGACCTAACTCACAGTGATTGCAGGGTATTTTGTCAATTATATTATTTTTTTAAATTGGATACACAGGATGTTTTAGCCCACAGAGCTTGTCTATGAGGGAATTCGATTGTAATTGATCAATAACGCTCATATTATTATTAATTGTGAATGTACATTATCCCATATTACTGATTTGTATTCAAATGTCTAGTCATCAATTTCACACATGTATATAAATGAAGGAAACAAGAAAGTTGTGTGTGAGTGAGTGAGTGACTTGATGTGATGATTATGAGTGGGAATAATAATAAATTGTGCTCGAATTGGCGTGTGGTCACCAGTTAATATTACTGTATAGCAACACTGCACTGCCTGACACTTTATCAAAAATAAAGTCTTATCCATAGTGGAGTAGCGATATAAGTTGGTAATGTGGCTTGCATACACCGTTCTTTTTAACCCAGCTGTATTTCTTCGTCGTGGTTTAAAGAGGAGTTATTAAATTCAAGTCAAAACAGCAGTTAGTTAGATCTTCCAAAATACTAAATATGCTTAGGAATAGATACTCTAAAGGCTAGATATGTGTACTTGGTCAACTAGAGGCTTTCCCGTGAACAATTGTATGCGGCACGAAAACGTGGCAAATGTTGTGGGAGCTTGTCGGCATACCTTAATCTACACCAGATTACAGAGTAACAGTACAGGTCACCAGTCTCATGGCAGATTTCACTACTGCATATAATGTTGAGTTTAGAGAATCATTCAATTCTTCATGCGCATTTCTTTCAAATTTAGACTTTAACTAAAGTGATATTAAACCAGCTTAGGTTTATGAGTAGCTTTAGCCTCGGCGTATTTCAATAAGTGCCCTTAACCGTTTTTTTATAGATGACCTTAAAGGCTGAGTTAACGTCAATCTTATGATTCATCTCGATTAGATATTTAGCTATAGACGAAGTTGGTAGTCTGACACCTGCATCTATTGGTTTTTCATAATTCATTGGTTTTTCTAACCATTTTGGGATATGCTCTCCCACCCTCAAATTCAGTTTATTATTACTCTTAACCTACTTTAAAGTCTTTATTTAATTGGATTAACAAACGTTGTGTTAATCATCCTTAGATCCTTTTTGTTTTGTCACTTTGTTTAATTTAACTTTTTCATGCATATATATATCGACTTGACATGTAAATGTGTGAGGGATCAGATTGTTCGAAATGTATAGTGCAAATACATCACATCACATGACATCGTTTTTCAGATAATCTCCGTCTTCTAATCATAACGCTGTCAAAATTTATAAAAGGAACTAATTGTTCTATATTTTATTAATGTTGCCTGACAGTATACAATAGCTAAGGTGTTTAGGGAATCCATGAACAGAAGTTTTACTCAAAGTAGTGGCCAGTAGTCAATGAGTTGAATTATCCGTTAATAAAAAGATGCATGCAGGTCTATGACTAACTATATTACTCCTAACAAGACTGTGCACTAATTAGAGCCTTCATTATACAGGACACCTAAAAGTTTGAAACTGTGAAGGCCAATTTGCTTTGAGACTTATTGGTCAGGGGAAGATCTTCTCCAGTTTTCCGGCGCCCCATAGTGAACTCCCAAAATGTTTTCTTATGTTAATATATATAAGACGAAATGCATGTCAAACATGCATGCGCAAGATAATGACAACACCAACAATAAGGAATCGAAATCATCAGTAGTAATTTAATACAGGGAAGGATTCTCGGAAACAACCACCTTACGCAGAATTCTTAACAAGGCAGACAGGAATAAAATACGCTGGAATTCAACCCCTCCCCACAAACTCAATGAGAAACAAGCTTTTTCGCTTAGAGGATCAATCCTGTGGAGCCTTTGAAACAAAAACAATTTAGTTTATCTAATATCCTGCCTCCGATGATTTTCAGGTCAAATACAAAGGACAAAGTAGTTGAAGAGGGTCAGTGAGTCAGTCAGACTAGCCGAGCATAAAAACTCAGCAGCAAAATCTAGATTGGTTGACCTGAATCAGATAAGAAATCTAGAGAAGAGTTCAGCTATCGCAAGCACTACATGCAATTACACACAACCATACAATAGACTGGATGGGATTGGATGACAGTTTCAGAATCTAATTTCACAGCAGGGTGGAGGGAGGGAGGGAGAGATTGATAAAAACGGAGGCTTTGTTTATCGAATCAACTGAGATGTGGGAATACGTGTAATAGGAATGATTCCACACCTGTCCATACGGATATCTGGAAAATTCTGCTACCACTCCAATGAAGACGATAAATAGGAGAGAACAAAGAAAACTATAAAACTCGAGTTTCGAAGTCGTGTGATTATAATTGATGAAATGATTATGAACAGCAGTAATGAATTGTGTTCGAAACTTTGTCATTCAGTAAATGCTAATACTGTTTCACTGAGTTTTCTTATGAAGGAATCAAATAATTTTCAAGTCATATGAGTCTAGCTTTTTGCATGAATCTGCGTGGGAGATAATACAAAAGCTGACTGCAGAGAAGCTTAACACCTTACCCCCTTTAAAATTAGAGAAATATTAAGGCAAATATTCGATGACGTGCTGTCAAACGTTGATTGAAAAAACATAGACATCCTTAAGTCTGATCGGAATCGAATATGAATCAAATGAACCTGATTCACAAAGACTCTGAACAGATTAATAGCCAAGTTAAATTTTAAGCACCGCTAACTATCTATCAATGGAATGCGACCGTACCAATGACCTTAAAATGCTCACTGCGCAATTTAGTGGAATTCAAGTATTGGTTTGTAGGGATTTGGTTGATTGGTTACAGTAATTCACCATGAGCTGACATTGGTTAGAGAACCATTGGAAAACCTGGGAGTACTGGACAGCTGTTTCGTCTGACTAGTTTGGAACTCTTCGTCAGTACGCACCCACCGGGTTTCGAACCCAGGACCTTCTGGT